AAAAAGGCGGTTCATGCTCGAAAACCCTCCAATGTGGCTGAATTACACCAATTCTGCAAAGATGAGTGGGCCAAAATTCCTCTACAGCGCTGTAAAAGACTCATTGCCAGTTATCGTAAACGCTTGATTGCAGTTGTTGCTGCTAAGGGTGGCCCAACCAGTTATTAGGTTTAGGGGTCAATCACTTTTTCACACAGGGCCATGTAGGTTTGGATTTTTTTCCCCCCTTAATAATAAAAACCTTCATTTAAAAACTGCATTTTGTGTTTACTTGTGTTATCTTTGTCTAATATTTAAATTTGTTTGATGATCTGAAACATTTAAGTGTGACAAACATGCAAAAAAATAAGAAATCAGGAAGGGGGCAAACACTTTTTCACACAACTGTATGTGTGTGGAGATCAGAAGAAGACGTTGATGTCAGAGTCAGGTATGGAGAACACCTGTTGAGAGACTTCTGGTTACTGCTGCAGCATTCATTTATGTGCGTGTAGATCAAAGGAAGACATCTCGAGGCTCCTCTCAGAGTCGTGTTGATTCGTTTTGAACATGTGCTTCAGGGATGTTCCTCCATTAATTATCTTAACTCACAATGTGTTTGTGCCCCTCACAGAAGGTGGATCTGCCGGACAGCCCTCGCTCCACCTTCCTGTTGGCCTTCAGCCCCGACAGGTGAGCGCTTCACCCACTCTCTGAAACCAGAGAATATCTCACAGAGCTCTTTGTAAAGAGAACTCCTTCTGTTCCTCACAGAACCCTGATGGCTTCCACTCACGTCAACCACAACATCTACATCACGGAGGTGAAGACTGGAAAGTGCCTACATTCCCTTGTGGGCCACCGTAGGACCCCCTGGTGTGTCACCTTTCACCCCACCATCCCCGGCCTGGTGGCCTCCGGGTGCCTTGATGGAGAAGTCCGTATCTGGGACCTTCATGTGAGTATCGAGTCTCTGAGTCCAGTTCACTGGTTTCTTTTCAGTGAACTAGAGTATCGCTGGATGTCGGTCAAGACTTTAGAGGATGTTTAGTGGACGTTTTAACACTTTAGAGACCAAATGATTCATCAAAAGATAATCGGGTTTAATTAGTTGCAGCTCTAGGGAGCCTCACGTTGTCTCACTGGTCAAAAGATCTGAGTAAAGTACTACAAAATACAGTTATTAACAACAATGTAAGGATTTAGTCAATTGTGAAGCTCGGATAATAAATAAAAAGCAGCTGGAGGGATTGAGAAGCATGTTTCCTTCAAACAATACGTTCATCTCAGCCAGAAGCTGTAAAAAACTCATTATCGTCAGATGTCCATCTCTCCGATGGTCTTTGAACACATCATGTGTGACGGAAAGGCTCTACAGAAAAAGAAGCCAAAACAAAAAGCTTCAAAATAGCCTCCATGTTTTTGTCAACACTTAGAAAAATGTTGGAGATATATCTATTCTTTCTTCTTTGTGATTGATGTCATCAGAACAGTTATTCTGCACTAAAGACATGTTCTAGTTCTCATGATGGTTCTGTTTCTATAGAGGAGCAGGACTCTTATTTTGAAGAGGTGTTGACTCACCTGCTGATTACCTGTCTGTGTTGTTCTCTTCAGGGCGGGAGTGAGAACTGGTTCACAGAGAGCAATGTCGCCATCGCATCGCTGGCCTTCCACCCGACCGCTCAGCTGCTCCTCATCGCCACAAACAACGAGCTCCACTTTTGGGACTGGAGCAGACCAGAACCCTTCGCCGTGGTCAAGACCGGCAGCGACACCGAGAGAGTCCGGTGGGTGGAGGGGGGGGGGGGGTTAACAGATGGACAGAAATTTCAAAATAAGATTCCAGATTAGAATAAACCAAAAACAGATTTCAATGACTTAACATTTTTTTATGTTAAGATTTGCATATCTGATGGGGGGGGGGGGGTGCAATACAGCTTTGTATCGCTGTTTTGCAATATTGTATCGATACATGAATGCCAAGTATTGACTTTTTTAATATATAATAAAAATTAACTATTTTTCAATTATGAATGTCTGAATGAACCTTTTTGTCTTTACTGTGGTTCTATAAGGTTCATAACGATAAGAATGAATGACAGTTACATGAAGTGGTCTCTACTTGATGTGTTCTCTAGTGCCACATAGTGGAGTCTAACTCGCTGACGTGTTGGTCTGTTATTTCTAATGTTTCCTCTGCTGCTCTGCTTCCTCTGGTGTTCCCTTCCCTTTTTTATAGGTAGGCTTTTAATGTGAAAAACACAGCAGGAAGTGTTGACTTATGTTGCCTATAGCTCGACAATATGAAAACATGTTTCTGTTGACAATAGAAAGTGTGAAAGTCAGAGTGGTGAGTATGAATGTGATAACTCTGTTGTGTGTTACAGATGTGTTCTACTGGTCACTATTATTTGAGTATTGGTAAAAAGTGTCTGTCATTTATTTGTACTTGTGTTCCTTCCAGGTTGGTGAGGTTTGACCCTCTTGGTCACAACCTGCTGACGGCGATAGTGAATCCGTCCAATCAGCAGGTGAGACCCGTTGACCTGGTTTCCTGTTGTTAGTGGGGGTGTTGAGCGGAGTCCTCAGAGCTGCTGTTGTTGTTTTCTCTCAGAACGAGGAGGACTCCGAGGTTCCCATGGACAGCGTGGAGATGCCTCACTTCCGTCAGCGCTCCTTCCTGCCTTCTCAGCCGGTCCGCCGTACGCCCATCCTCCACAACTTCCTCCACATCCTGTCGTCTCGCTCCCCGGGCGCTCAGACGGGAGGCGAGCAGCTGCGACCTCTCGGTGACAACGGGGGCAACGTGGGAGAATCTCCCAGCATGCCTCTGGCCCAGTACCCGGGCGCCGAGCGCGGGCCTCCGTTCCCGGGCTGCACTCAGCACCTGGGCATGGTTTGTCTGTGCAGCCGCTGCTCCGTCAATCGGAACCCTTCCCTGGCGGCCGATGCGACCCCGACCGATCCCAGCAGGGGGTCGACCGACGCCCCCCAACCGTCGCCAGCTTCCACTTTCTCCTCGGCGCGTACGGAGCCCAGGCAGCCCTCGGAGCGACCCTCGGCCTTTACCTCAGTCTACTACAGCGCCGGCACGTCTCTTAACCCCCCC